CAAATCTGTCTTAAAATACCGATATGATATTGTTGCTGTCTTTGATCTTGGGATATGCTAAAGGTGTTGATGTCCGCTGCGAGTGATTGGATGTCAGCGTGAATTGCTCCACCATGAGCAGTGTTAGTGCGAGCGGAGCGGGCAGTGTCACTGCCGCGGAGGTATTGGCGGATGGTGATCATCAACCTGTTCACTCAGTCTGATCACAGTCCAAATGTACTTGTTGAACCCGACCCAAGTACAAGCCTTTTTCAACCGCCGAAACTAGTACGTACCAGTGTTTTGTTAACCCTTATTCATTTTTTGGCGTAATGGTATTATGCTTTCCTCTTTATTTTACTTTCCCTTGATCTCATCTTTGGTTATGAGTTTGGGTGCGGAAACGGTCATCCTCTAGAAGGGGAATGCGTGAATCTATTCTTAGCTTGACTTTAGTAGATCTGTTTCGCGTAGCTGGATGGAGTGAAATTCTGTTAGGTCAGTATATGTTACCAGCAGTGACAAGCTAAGTGTGTAAACAAGTTTCTCTAGGGCGAAAATCAGTAGAACTGTTGAAAAATGTTAGGAAACTGATTCTATTCAAATTGGATAAAAATGGCCCAGTGGTTTTCTAAGTTCTGTCAGCAATAGGTGAGATCCATCGATTAAAATTGTGTCGGTCAGAAATTTCAGCCAAAAAACATGGGCTGAACAGCTGATGTCTATGCCCGAGTAAGCAAGGTTCGGTTCGAAGACCCATATCCTCGTTTTCGTGAATCCACGAGGCCACCGGAGAATATAAAATTCTATGAGCTGGCCATCCCCTATGGTCCCTTGGATATATTGATTTGTTTGACAAACTTTGTGGAGAATAAACATCTTCCACTGGCCTCTTATGTTGTTGATGCGATTGAGCAAGAAGAAATATGCAGCAAGTACACTCTCAGGACACTCTGAGTGCCATGAGGAATCTCTTGGAGGAAACTTGCGATATGGCCTACCTGGTTTATTCGACAGAGATCTGGCATTGAAATCAACCTACTCAGAACTTCCTTTCAGTGTGTATTTATAGGTTAGGCTGTTCCAAATGGGTGTGATATACAGGCAGAAAGAAGGTGACACTGTGAAAGCGGTCTGACTGATGAAAAGTGGAATGAGGGATAGGGTGTACGCCGAATGGATTGATGCTAATGCGTGCTTACGGTCATTTGTCAAGTTTGATTGACAGAAATCACAACTCATCACGCTCACCAAGAACTCTTGACAGACATTCGACTCCGATTTACTGTAGTAATTTAATCAAGTACGACGTGGTTGCATTCTGTTACTGTCGAAGGATCGCCAACTCTTGGCACTACAATATACTGTGGATATAAGCCATATTTCCCTGGATAGTTTTATTTTTACCCTTTCATCACACACTTGTCGCTTGGGTGCACACAATGGCCTACTGACAGACATACGCGCTGGTTTTATTCATCTGAGTTATGCCCCAACTGCTTGACTTCCATCTATCCATCCATGTTTCTACCACCGTCGCTGATTGGATGCCGCGTCAACAGAAGCGAATGTAAACATTTCACACTAGAAAACTATCAGTCGTGCTAGCACGATGTTAGTTGAAAACGTACGATATAAGTCTTATCTAATCGGAGTTTCACAATTCAAGGAATAGATCGAAAATGTGACCGCAGCGAAAAACTGTCACTCCACCCTCAAAAACCCAAAAATGATCGAACGGTTTATGGGTTCTCGTAATCCAAAGGGCATGTTTCAACGTAAAAAGATCCAGGCAGAAAAACAAAGGTCACTCGCGTCAGCGGCAATGTTCACTCAGGCAGGATTCAGGATGGACTTTGTCATGCGTGCTTGCAGGTTGCCGTGTGCTTCTCCAGTCATTTAGACAATGGCGACCAAAGAAGATAACAACATGATCCATTGATTCTAAGGTCTACCTATTGTCATCTCTTGGTTTCGGGACTGAACAGTCAGAAATATAGGACATATTGGTGAACAGAGTGAAATAAGTGGGCTGTTGTCAAAAGAATACATAGGGTGTCCATTCTTTTGGCAATGTTGAAACTATAGACTTGTTTCGATCTCAGTTTTGCTCGTATTGCTCGCTCTTTCTGTTGTGTGAGTGGGGCTGGGGTCGTTTGGAGAAGGGCTTTCGAGAGAATCCATTTCTCCAGAGAAGCCATAGAAGATTACTTCGTCATCCACCATTTGGCACTAAACCTTGCTCAGTCAATGTGACTGTCAGAAAGGCTAGTTTCCTGAAGGTAATCCCAGGATGCCCGAAACTTGCTGAGACCCTCAAACCTCACCAAAATCGCAATGGGAAAGCCGCCATGCATCCAGACGAAAATCGCCAGCTGTCAATTGGACACTGAAGCAGTCAATCAGTTCAGCACCGACCGGCGATGATGGGTATTCAGGCATTTCATAGAAGCACGCGAATTACCTGAAGCAGTAGTCAAGTCAGCACCGACCGGCGATGATGGATATTCAGGCATTTCATAGAAGCACGCGAATTACGATGAGTATTCGAGCATTTCTCAGAATCACAGCAGACAATCATGCATGTTCACCCGACGTCGATTGGACAGCTTGGATCAAGGTCAAGGACCCTTGTAACGTTTGCACCCACTTGTTCGCAATAAAGCTGTAGCGTCATCAACATCAGCATCATCATCAACGACAGCATGACATCAGTGTTCAACACTGATGCTTCGCTGCCAACAGTCATTGTGCTCCTTGCTGGCAGGTCTTTTTCCAACAGTATGGTACCGGAGCTGGGACTGCAGTTAGTTACAGCAGTCACCACCCAGAGGAGGTCAAAAGACCTTTTTATCACAATCCTCAGGCCTCAGAGTTGACCCGAGTCAACTTTCGCGCTGGACATCTTAGTTGAGGATACATTAGCAGAAGAATGGATAAGTTCTCAGGACCGCATCGAATCGTGCAGCTGTAACACCCTTTCAGTGCTCAGCTACCATGCCATCCGAAGTAGGGTTGAGATACTGCCAGGTAACGCAAGCCTAGACAAGAACAGTCGAGATGTAGGTGACCATGCGCTCAGTAAGTTCAACCCTTTTTCACTGATGTGAAACATTGACTCTTTGTCTCTGCTTAGACACCTCAGCCGTGCTTCGTTAATCGCGATCAGTATCTGTCTCTGCTTGGCCACAGCCGTGCTTCGTTAATCGCGATCAGTATTCGTTTTTGCTCGAGCACTGACCCAAAACTGTTTACTTTCTTAGACGTATGTCGCTCTGAGTGAGGTGGTTCACAGTAGAGTATCCGTCAGTAGGCAAGCCTCTTAAGCGCCACTGGTTATGGGAAACTTGCGAGAAAGACAAAATGAGTCATTTGAGAGAGTGCAATCGTGGTGAGCCTTCCATTCGCAACGATATAACGTTGCTCCCGCTAATACTACTGAGTTCTTTTCGTCTGACGGTGCTCTTACTGAAAGATAGCATCCCCTTATAGAGTTCGCCCACAACGATCATATGTGCAGTCTCAAGTTCCAGATATTCTCAATGAATCTAATGTGATTAGGTATGACACTTTGAACGGCTTGTTCCGACAATCAGTTTGACATAAATGAGATGCCAGGATTAGCGGAATACACCTATTTGCATATCAATTTGGTTTCCAGGTGAGACTTACCTGGAACCAAGCTAAATCTCTCGTTTTGAAGCACCAGGCCAACTCATGTTTAGCTGGCATGATATTCGAGAACCCGCGGTACATTGTACCGACACCATACGCTTGAAAACATCATAAACGATAAATTCAACTGGATTCCGAAGGATTCTCCCTGGAAAACCAAATTGGTTCGCAAATAAGTGTGTTTGTCGTCAGTCCAATTTGGGTTCAAACAGAACATAAGGTTGACGGAAACTCGGGCACTGCGCCTACCTGATGAGCCCCAAGAAGAGCGAAACCGGTTGTGGGCTGTCGAAGGATTTTCAGCAACCTTATGAGTAGCGAGAAGTCAGCGTGCTTTATTCGTTTATCAATCGACTGCCTGGAATGACATCATTATTATCAAGCCAGGGCTTAGGGTTTCAATCTAAGTTATGATCAATAGGTGCCGAAATAACAAAAAGCTGAGTCGTTGGTTGTAGTTTCAGTCTCTGTAAATCCACTTCGTGTTTTCACGAAGGATTTTTTAACAGAAAAGCAACTAGCTATGTTGGATCGGTCAGATTGATTCAGCTGTGCCATATGGGAAATGGAGGCCGATTGCATTTCGATTCTAATCTCTGCTTTACACTCAGGTTGGTCTCCATTGTTAACTGCCAGGTATCCTGTTATATAAATATTGATGAAGTTATTTGACTTTCTTTAAATTCGAAGTACACTCATTTGCATACCAGCTTGGTCTTAACAGGAGACTCAATTGAATCCCTGCTGAATCTTTCACGTGTGATACTATCTGCTTTTGTCCCAAGCACACAGCATGCAAAATCACATCAAGGTTGCCGTTTTTCCCAGCCTTTCCAATCCCGTTTATCTTGTAGCATCCGAATCGGTTGAACAGCATGCATTGAATGTGATACCGATTCCAACTGCTCCATTAAGTTGTTGTGATTTATTTCAAGGCTCTCCAAACTTTGGCCCGCTGGTCAGATCCCGTCTTCTCTACTCATGCAATGTCTATCACTTTTGGACAGTTCGGTTAACCACTCAACTCTGCACGTGTTGATATGTTCATGTGTACTGTTCTCCCTAAATTGTATTCAGTAGTAGAAGGGAGGCTGTCTATCGGTCTGCAACGTATCGTCCACCCTGATGTAACAACTGTTTTAGACGGTCTATTCAGCGTTCACGGTAGATGAGTTTTGCCTGATCATATAACACCAGTGGAGTGTAGATTTGAGTTTACGCTCGGACACATGGAAAATCGAGTGTTATTGCTGCAACCACAGCTAGATTGTCGTCCGTTGTCTTACTCTGCCTCGACCCTCATCGGAATTTCACGCAAGCTACCGACCTAATAGTCCATAACTGACCTGCGTGTCACGTTCGTTTAGCATAGGTTCATTGCTGTCATCCAAGCGGCCGACATCCATGATCCCAGCATCTGACGTTTGGGTAACAAAGTGGTTTCGGTTTCCAAGCTCTAATATCATTTCGTAATGTTATAAGACGTATTGATCCGTATTGCACTTATACTGGGATCTGTTGGCTGAGCACGTCACACATCACGTGATATTTGATCAAACCAAGGCCATTTTGTTGAACTTGTTCTGTCCGTCACGTGATCACGAATTTAGCCACACATGTACCCGCCTTGCCCGTAGAGTTTGCCACAGTTTTATTTTTGCACGCCGAGATCAATGAAGCTTGAGAAATGTCCAAACTTTCCTCATGTATTTCCTACAGTAGTAGCGGTTTTGTGATAGTTGATCCCACATGGCGGTTTAATACCATAACTACTTTGCTGCAATATGCGTGATGTACTAATCATAAGGTTGCTGAAAATCCGTCGACAGCCCACGACCGGTTTCGCCCTTCATGGGGCTTACCAGTTAGGCGCAGTCCCCGGGTTTCTGTCAACCTTATGTTCTACTTGAAAACAAATTGCACGGAATTAGCGAATATACACTCATTTACAAACTAATTTGGTTTTTCGAGAGACTCACCTGGAACCCAGCTGAACCTCTCGTTTGCTCTCATTTAACTACTCAGGCCCACATCATGACCCATCATGACAGACCGAATCTGTGCAATCGGACGATCTGCCTTTTCTGTTAATCATATTTCTGCTATCGTCACACTCAACCCTATCCCAAATTTGTCGCCTTCTTGGTCCACTCAGCTAGTGCTGCTCGAGTGTTTTTCTGAGCACCATGCGTTCGTGATACAGTCTGAAGATCAGGCAAACAAATTTAACGTGAGAAAGTGACTTTGTCGTCAAACCAGTTTCATATGCATGGCGTTGGGACTGGACAAGCCTGAGTTGTACAAATCTAGTGCCCGTTTTGCAGGTTCCCACACCATGTTTAATCCGACTTCTGGTTCTCGTGTTGTGATAATCCCACGAGGACTACCATCTCTGCAGAAAGCCAACGGGGAACAGTGAACCCACGTACCACAAGAACTGGCACTACAATGCGGTCTGGGAGTGGCGTTTCTGTTCAGTGATATAAAGATATGAGGACTTCGCCCAGGAGACCGGAATATTCATATTTATGAAACTGACACTGACTCCTTTCACCAAGAAGATACGAGTTGGAAATGTTTGACCCTGAAAACCACCCGTTCATCCGAACGTTCAGCGGTTGAACGTAACCGACGGTGAGTTGATATACGGCCGAAATTCAGCTCAAAATTGTGTACTGTGCGCGGTGGCATGTTCTAATTCCCGCTCTCGCGGAATAGATCAGTTCTCCACGATCTTGTACGTCAGAGTTTGAAGTCAAAAGTCAAAAAAGCTTCCGTTTTCAGGCTTAACAGTCAAGATGCCCCACATGCCTGAAATGCGAACTGCTGTGGTTGCAACAGAGCACAAACCCTACAAAACGGAGCACTGCTTTCAGTTAGACACGGATGGTTCTGGTTTTGCCTTTCACTCGAGTGGAATAATTCAAGAAAGCTGAGGTGAAGACAGTGCTGGGATGGAAGATGCAAATCACGTGAATAATAGAATAATGACGGCACCAACTCAAGAAGGATAACCCTCCGATCCCGGCTGTCGCAGTGTCAGACTCAGACGTGAGGAAGAATAGCTTCTACTGTCGACTGTCGGTGCTGTACAGATACGTCCTCCAAGCGACTCTCCCCCCATGCGGGTGGTCCCATTGCTGAGGCTAGTAAGGGTTAAAAAACACGTTTGGATCCATTTGGAATAGGTCTATGAAAGATGACTACTATTTGTGTTGTCAGTAGCGATCTTGGGACACAAATCACTTGCCACGTGAACTCATCCAAGAACCGCGTTCGGACACCCAAGTGACTGTCATCGTGTGGTAAAGAGCTCTCTGTAATGCGCTGATTAAAAGTGATGCCCAATCTTTGGTGCGTGCTACTTCGTGGACGCAGAATGGAACACATCCGAGCTGAATGTAGAAAACCCTAATAACCGGGATACTCTAGTGGATTTTGGCGAAGCTGTTACGCAGAGAATGACCGATAAAGGTTCCAATCAGACCCGAAAGCCAATTCGTGGCCAGAAACGAACACATATCCAAGCAATTACCTGAACACAACTAAAGCCAGAACAAAAGTTAGATTGGCTGATTGGATACACCCGATTCATATCTGCCATGATTCATCCGCACACTTTAAGATCCTTTTAACACGGAGGCCCAAAAACAACTCAGAACAGCGAGAATCAAGTTTCTGAAACATCTGCAAGAAAATGAACAGTGAACTGAGTGAAAAGCTTCAATCACCGTTGCCACAGAGGATTCTTTATACTGGCTTGTGGAAGACAAACAAATTGACCAAAAACCTAACAAAAGTTCGATGAAATTCATTCAGCTTAGAAACATTTCTCATTACTACTCAACCAGCCAGGAGGTGTTGATTTGACCCATATAGCTCGTCTGCCCAGTACGCATTCATTACCTGTTTGGCTTAACTGTTCACAGTAAGCCAACTGTAGGATTGGACGGCTTGCTCAATTCAAATGTTCAAGGACGACCGTCACTTCAAAAACAACTTCCAAGCACCTGCTTTTCAAAATTTCGGAGGTGGTAAACTTACCAACCAAGTTCAAGGATCCCATAAAAAAGCGGTAAGCTACCGCGGCATCAGCATCCTATACAAGGCACAACCACTAACCCACCGCTACGCACAACTACACACTGATGATGTCACCTCGATTGGTGATGAAACGTTTGCAACCAAATTGCCCAGCTCAGCGAACAAGCCAACGACCAGATTACCTTATCCTTACGCAAGATCCTATCCTCCTCAACCGACTAGTCTGTGGAATTTCTAGCAAGCACGATGGACTTAATTTTTGCTTCCAGACAAATGCAAAAGAAATACCGTGGATGAAATCAAGCGTGTAAACAAATCAGATTGTTACAGACCCAAACACATTTGTTGACAAGTGCCTGATCACGACAACTTGATATACCTCCCTCCACAAATCAGATTCATTTGTAGGATTTTTTCAAATGGCCCCCAAATCACCTACTTTATTACAGAGCGGTGAAGTTGGCTAGTCAAACTGGGGCTGTTTCTGTAATTGACACTTGGTCTTGCATGTGTGTACATGCGTTTACAGGCCGGAACTAACTTGATAAAAGTAAACCTTTCACCTTCTATCAGGAAGGTCAGATTCCTGAAAGCAATCACTGAATGTCTGAAATCTACTAGGACCCTCAGCTCCACTGGGTGCTGACCAGGCAGACAACGCCCCCTCAATATGCAGCGGGTCCCATCCATGTGTCAAACCCAGACAGCGCGAGTAAGCGTTGGTCAAGGTCAGACAAACGCCCCCGCAATATACAGCGTGTCACGGCCTCGTACCGAGGCCAGACCGTGTGCCTCAGCATTGGACCAAGTTCAGACCGTGTCTCTCCAATAAATAACCTGAGACCGTTGTACTCGGCACACACACGCACTCGTGCTCTCACACACGCTTGTTCGGAATATAGCTGTTGTGTCCCCTTCTTTGAGTTTTTTTCAGGCATTGGGCACTGGAGCGGGCCAATAGTCAGATACAACAGATTGGCGAATCTGCAGATATAACACCTTTAAAATCTATTGACGACAAAACAAGAGTTTAATTTCACACTGTGTGCATGTAAATCCGGTTTCTGCGTCGTACTACAAACGTTAACAAATAGGGGAACCCTGTCACCTCTATAATCGTATCCCGTAAGCGGTTCACTTTTGGCCTATCAAGAACCTGATGGCATCTAAAAACTTCACCACAAACAGATGGTTTCCATTGCTGTCCACACATTTTTTTTACAGAAAAATTTCAATGCATGCACGATGCATCGTATCTGCCTTGCACCAGTTAACAATTATGTGATCGGAAGCCTCGATAAGGTAGAATTCCGTGTTCTGATCAAACTTACTCAATTAGACCCCGAGGGGGATAACTAGTACTTTGGCACCGAATCCTAGGAGAATAATACGGTAATGTGGATGTACCGAGGCTTTTTCCCTTTGAACCAACTCATCAAATGATTTTCATTCACTTTCAGGATCCGAATCATGATATTTTCGTGGTCGCGGCGATTTGAAAATCGATAATACTTGATAGCTGAGTACGCCTCACGATGAATCAAGCCAGTATGGCCAGTTCGAAAGATCAAGTCAGGTTACACAAAATCTTCCGATTTCTAGTTTCACTCTCCTGCTTGGGTATATTGGTTATTCTGATACAGCAGTTCCAGTCCCATGATGTCATCCATATTGTGTTTAGCGAAAAATATGGCAATACACTTGACTTTGTCAGTGTGAGGTCGAATGAATTCCGCGTTCAGCCATTTTGGTCGCAACCGAATAGGTCTGTGTTCGCACCTGATTTGGCCAAGATGAGTTGGCCAAAAGACCCAGTTGCACCTTACCCTGCGGGAAGGCGAAACAGCAATGGCGAAGTGGCCCAACTTCCTCCATTATTTGAACCAGTGATGAGCATTGCTCAGCGGAAATTGTCCAAGCGATTGCTCCAGATATTCTCCGAAACAATGTTTGCCAATGGTCTGGGAGATCGATTCATGTTGTACGGTGGAACATTGTTAGGTTCTTATCGACATCACGATTTCATTCCATGGGATGAGGACATTGATGTGCTTGTGGATGTATTGATTAGGGACAAAGTTCGGGAACTGCTGTCCGGACTTGCACCACAATACAACTTTTATCAAGGTTATTCAAGAGATAAACTCTATGGACCACTTATTGATGGTGCCGAAAACGAACTGGATGTGGAAAAAAGTCGACCCGCGGCTAACTGGGGTTGGCCTTTCTTAGACATTAGCTATTTCAGAGTAAACGGAACGCACGTGATGGAAATTACCATGTCTTACGGACGATATTATGTCTGGCCTTATGACGTTGTCTTCCCTTTACACTTTCGACCACTTGGCAAATACTGGTATCCTGCACCCCGAGATACGTGGCTCTTTAACCGTTTGACCTATGATCCTGGTGCAATGTGTGTGATTCCCGGTTATTCACACGTAAAAGAGAGCAGGGGGCCATCTGGTAGCATGCCATGTCGGGATCTGGCTTCCAAGTATGCATTTGTTGAACACGTCGCTTGCAAAAACGGAACCAGTGAACAGAAGTCAGACGAGTTTGGAATGGTTTTGGCCAAAGAGCGACTGGTTCAGTATTCGAACTCCAGTATTGCTCACATTTATCATTCCCTGTGCCTTGCTGTCCCAAAGGATCGTGTTCGTACAGACACATTCTCAATGTGATTTGTACCAAACGTCGGAATCAACTGTTGGTTGTATCAGAAATTTCCACCTTCGATCTCCATTTGTCCGCTCTTTTGCCAGATGAGGTGAATAGTTTTCGTATACCTCTCATCAGAGTTTATATTTTTCGAAAGGTATTTTTCTGTTCCCTATATTTTATATGAATCAAGCACCCATGAGTTTCGGTTCACAATGCGCAGTGATCCGAATGTTTCACAATCGATAAGGCAGGTGGGTTTTCAACTATCAGTCGGTCGATTTTTGAATCACTGAAGCAATGTTTAGTTAAGGTTATCATAACTTCAAAGGAATGATTTAACGAGATTTGAGCCAAGTTCAGTCTTGGCAAAACTTCACTATTTCTTAGTGTTATGAAAAGAGCGCAGTCTGGGCCAATCAAAACTCATAATCATTGAAATGATACTACTTATAACGTTGGTGAGATCCCATTATCGGTTTGGCCCATTTTGAGAGTTGTCAGCTAGGCTTAGTTACTAAGTCTGAATTGAGTAGTATCATGTAGTATACACGGTATCCGGGACCAGGTATTGTCCAAACGTTGACAACCAAATCATTACAGAGCGTATCAGTTGGATGAATAAAACACTCTATTTGGTACGGGATCTGAGAACGGCATTGGATGCTATAATCCCAAAAAATATGCTTTTATATATATTTTTCCAAAATCAGGCTGTTACGAAGGCTAGCTGGGTGGATGAAATAGACCACGAGAAGATACTCCGTCGGAAATGTTTTCCCATAGCCTATAGGGTCCCACGGTGCGAGCAACAGTTGCTGCAGATACGAACGGCGGTTTTCACGCAGCACCTCGATACTTAGTACTATATGGACATCAAGTTCTGAGAAGTACACTCATTTGCAAATCAATTTAGCTTTCACGAATGACTCAGCGGAATTTCTCGTTTATGATATTCCACAACTGAATGTGCGAAACCAGGTGTGGGCTGTCGAAGAGTTCTCAGCAACCTTGTGAGTAGTTTCCTTTAAGGAAATATACTGCGATATCTCGAATATCGTGCCAACCGAATCATGAGGCGGCCTGTGCGCAGCACATTCAGTTGTGGAATATCATAAACGAGAAATTCCGCTGAGTCATTCGTGAAAGCTAAATTGATTTGCAAATGAGTGTACTTCTCAGAACTTGATGTCCATATAGTACTAAGTATCGAGGTGCTGCGTGAAAACCGCCGTTCGTATCTGCAGCAACTGTTGCTCGCACCGTGGGACCCTATAGGCTATGGGAAAACATTTCCGACGGAGTATCTTCTCGTGGTCTATTTCATCCACCCAGCTAGCCTTCGTAACAGCCTGATTTTGGAAAAATATATATAAAAGCATATTTTTTGGGATGAACATCAACTTTGTTGCGGGTCCTCGTGTATGTTGGTTAAAGATGCATCTAAGCTATACGTTTATACAGTAAATAGTATAGTAAGCCCCCCTCGTCCCGACAGCAGTGGTCATCAACGATCTTTTCTGTGAGACGGCCGCTGTTGTATTCTTGGTGAATCAAGATGTGTGAATATATTTGCCTGAGTTGTTTGTAACACAGGAATGGAAACCGTCCTACAAACGCCCTGTTCGAAATCTGACGGAAGAACGTTGTAACCGGGCGCATTGTAGAGGGTTTTCTTTGTGTAGAAATGAAACGGAGTGAGCGGACATGGGGACTATTGTGAACGTGTGTTGACAGGTGTTTTGGCTTATCATGGTGTTTCGTAAAATCCCGAATACGCATGAGATCGATAAGTGCATCATATAACGATCGAATTTCTTCCACAGTTGGCATCCCCACTATGGGCAATGTACCCACTTAGGGTAGGATGAAGGTGAGCGGAACTGAATGATGACGCCACGCATTGATTCATTAGCCGAGTTGAAATTTGCAGCGAATATGGGAATTAAAACGTCGTGAAAAATCACCAAACCTCTATAAGTGTATCAAATACCAAGGATGTGATCAGTTTGAACTGGGGATGGATTATCACATGAGATTCTGGTTCATCCCATTGCACATTGTTAACGTGCTCAAAAGTTGAGGCTTCGGTATCACGTTCCATGGACTGCTTGTCAGATCTGACGTGGCGGTTTGAGCAGTTGGAGCACCGAGCCATCGCTTTCGGTCGGATTTGAACTGGAATATCTACGGAACCGTTACTTTTGGAGATAGAAACGTGAACTGGTCAGCTTGCGTAGGTCGTTTGGGCTGCAGACTGAAACATTCACCGGGGTAGAGTTTCAGCTTGCGTTTCAGTTAGTTGATCTCGTTTATGGACTGGTGAGAGTCGCGTTTCAACGCCCCTATTGAAAACGTGTGAAATCGGGTTATCTACGATTTCGGATTCTTGAAAGGCGCACCAACTGTGGCACTCAGGTTCATAATAAAAAACGCGAACACATGAGTGTGAGAGATATACAGTAACTGTGCTGATAGTCTATAGACTTTCAAAACAGACCGGTGATTCATTTTTTAACCTTGTCTTGCATCACCGGATAGTCAAGGCCCCACTTGGGCGCCTGTCTCCAGACCAATGGTGTTAACAAGCCTCGCTACTTTCATCCGTACATAGACTAGCATCACACGACTCGAACACTTACGGTCTGGGCACGAGCAAGTCAGCCATACCGTGTGAGCTGCGTATGACGGAGGCGATGGAGCTGGCGCCAGTCTATTGCCACACCACTGCACACCCGAGCTCGAGAGCACAGTGTAGTCAACCAGTTCACCTCACCGACTAAACGGGTCAATGGCCAGACAAATCTGGACAGGGGTGAACCAAGCTGCGATTTATCTATCCCTTTGATGAGTCATTCTTCTCTGGATAGCCAGGGTCTCGTGGCCCTACCCTAGTTGGTATACATCTGTTCAGTCACACCTAGCTCCATTTTTCAGGTCGTATGGATCTGCACGACGGCGCCTTTCACCGAGCCAAGAAGAGTTACCGTTTGTTCTGTGAAACCAAGCCCAATGTGCGAAGCAGCTTGCCTATTCTTTTATTAGGTCTTGTAGGTAGGTACTACCTCGTACTAATACTATATTATCATTTATTTTTGAAGAGCATGGTCACAAACATAAAAAGTGAATACAAGCGATGAATGCGAAAGAGTAACAGGAGAATATGGGAGAAAAGAGAGAGGCGTCTCATTCGAAATCATGCCAAGAACAGTGCCAGTCTGATGAGGTGAATCCCAAAGTATGTATGTAAAAATTTTGATATGGAAAACGCGTCTAAGGACCAACAATGGAAGAAAGGACAAACAATGTTGAATGCTCTTCAAGGCGTGGTAGGCACTAGCACAGTCAAGACTCGCACATCAGGCACAAAGTGTCCGTCATACTGGGTCTGGTGTGAGATCAAATGGCAAAAATGTACGTTCAACGCCATGTGCCACGCATAAATGTGTCATAAGTAGGCAGAGAGCCCACAATGGCAAGCAAACACAAGTCACTGACAGCGACCTTAGGAAGTCCCAGTCCCAGGCAAAACGAGGTCGGGTGTTTTTAGTTTTGTTGGCATTGCTATATGGTATATACCATGGGTCGAATCATTATTACAACAATTTTTCTGGGTTAGAATGGCATATGTTAGCTCATTTGAAGGGGCTAACTTTGTCATCATAGATGGGCCATTATTTGCAGACGGTCCAAAGCCCACTTGATTGCTGTCCGTGTCTTGTTGAGTTCGCATCAAAATGCAGTTTCTCTGTCTGAACCTTGCTCAAAGTATGCATAGGCTTACGACGTCTGTCTATACGTATTTGAAAGAAGCACGGAAGTTTCTAAGAACCATTTAAAAAATAAGGAATATGTTAATGCTCTAAGAGGTCCCGAGAGCTAGTTATACAAACAAGAAAACTGCGAGCATTAACAATATCAGCTTGTTGAGGAAAAGTTATTACAATAGTGTAAAAAATGAACAAAGGGACTTATCGTATTGCCGATTCGAGTTGATAAATCCTTTTGTGAGTACGGATGCAGGTTTCGTGTTTTCTGCGCCGTTGTAGTGGCCACACGTAGTCCTGAATATCCGTGAGTGAGGCGTTGTAAGTCCCAAGCGGCTCTACTCCGAGTTGGGTGACGTACGAAGCTGCGTTGAGTTGTGTGGTGTTGCTGTGCTGGCATCCTATTTGTAGGACGTTTGCGTGTGTGTGGGTATCAGAGA